CCACTTCCAAAAATAAACTTCATTTGAAAGTTATTTATTATCAGTACATAAAGTTCCACAGACATTTGCATTCAAACAGCACTATTGTTGTTTCCTAATGGGAGGCTCTGGAGTTTAATTTGTCATTCTCTGGTGTTAAACGGGAATAATCTCTTGCACCACTAATAAGGTTTGCAGACTCAAGAAACATGCAACAATTATTTAAACATCATTGATGCTTCACTCCAATCAGTATAAAAGTTAATTCATGTCCAAGCATAAGCCTTTCTCATCTAGGTTCATCTCGGTTCACTGAGTCAGTGTTTTGAAACTATACAATCTTGCTGAAGTACAGAATGAAGAGTTCTATCTAAAAGATGTACTCAACTGTGTCTTCATCATCGGGTGTTTGCGTGGATGTGCACACTGGTTTTTCTTCCATGTCAGACGGAAAGCACTAAAAACAAAGAACAAAACCCTTTTAAAAGCTTACTGTAAAAGGCAGTATTCCCACAACATAATTTAGATCGACAAGGGAGTCTAATATAGACATTATCCCAGGTTTGGGCTTTCAGTCCACACTGTTGATCTGTTTTTAATTGTGGCTGTTTTGCTATACAAGCTTTTATATAATACATAATATTCTACATCTAATGTACAATAATACCTTTAGGCACAAACATGAGAAAAGCATCCAACAAAAGGTAAGCTCCCTTTTGAAATCAACAGGACAAAGAGCACTCTTCTTTAAAGGGCCCTCTGAGCGTGAAAGGGAAATAGGGAATTTTGCTTCAAAAAGGTGCCAAAAGAACCAGGTAGACACTTATAAGTACTTACCTTTCCAGAGTAGATTACCAGGGGAGACTGGAGTGCTAGAGTGGACTTACTGAAGGAGAATTGAGAACTCGGAGCTTATAAAATCTGAACAAGTTTATTAGACGCTAAACAAGTTCATGATAGTGTCACTTATGAAGTATTTACTATGTACCTGGTGCCTATATGTTTTACCTCTATTCATCCTCATTACAGTTAGGAAATGCATAGACTTTCATTGCCATATGCCAGGTGACAAAATTCAGATTCAGAAAAACTAAATTGCTTACCTGCCCAAGAGTTCAGCGATGCTGCAGACACAGGTCCGAAGTGACTCCAAAGCTGGTGTTCTTTGTATTTGTGGACCAAATCTTCCCTGATTTGCAACGTTGGAACCAGGGAGGACAGATACAAGAGAGCACGTTGTACTGATTTGTCAGCAGAACTCCCTTTGAAGGACAGGCTACCCTGCTTTTGAGGACGGCACAAAGATACTGAGAAAATGAGGCATATTTGAAAAGAACATGTTATAGATGGGTAGAGCAAAGAGAAAAGCAAACAGAATTAAAGAATGGCTCTGGGCATCATGGTTTCTTCACTTGCTATAACCTGAGGATTAGTCCACTTTAGTACATAGATTTATCTCGCTTTTCCCTAATGGTAAATTGTGTTCCCTCATACAGATAGTATTATGTTGTATGGTATGGTTTATTCCAGTCTGGTATAAATAAACGTTCTATATTATGTAGCAGAATGTTAATGATATTGCAGTGATTTTCAGTCTTTAGTTGCAAACAACAATAAGCATTTAAACCACTGAAAAAAGGCTGCTTCTTGACTTCTTATACTTATCCTTTCTCAGAATTGGAAGCAAGTTACTATCATGCAGATAAAAGTTCTAGAGATCTGCCCTGACTGGTTTGGCTCAGTGGATAGAGCATCGGCCTGCGGACTGAAGAGTCCCAGGTTCACTTCCAGTCAAGGGCATGTACCTTGGTTGCAGGATCAATGTTTCTCTCTCATTGGTGTTCCTAACTCTCTGTCCCTCTCCCTTCCTCTCTGTAAAAAAATCAATAAAATATATATATGTTTTAAAGTTCTAGAGATCTAATGTACAACATGGTGACTACAGTTAATAATAATGTATTGTATTCTTGAAATTTTCTAAAAGAGTAGATATTAAGTGTTCTTACCCTCCCCTCCCCCACAATCACACACAATCTACTTATATAAAAACCATGGGTGGTGTTCATCGCGACCATCAGAATTGCAACCAACCGGAAGGAAGTCAGTCCTGCAGGGGTTGTCGGAGCCTTTCCCCAGGCTGTTTCCCGAAGCTGTTTTCTGTAAGGGTGGGTTTGAGGCAGATCTCTCTAAAGTGTGCCGCCTGCCAGCACGGCCAGGGCTGAACCTGAGGGGGGCGGCTAAAAGACTTAGAAAAGACTGACAAGAGAATGAAAGCCAGGTCTCGGTGGGACGCTGCTTCTCTGAGAGATAGCAACCACGCCCACAGCCATGCCTTTATTTTATACCAGATGCTCGAAGGCAAAGGGCGTGACCAAGATATTTACAACATTCTCCTGGGTTTCAATCCTACTCAACCTGAACTCTATCAAGCCTACA